GGAGAAAGATGATGTTTTTGCTCCTGCAAAGATGTACAGCCTCAGAAACCCTATACAGGGTCATTATGCATCAGAACCCACTCAACAGCACTTAACAACAACATTAGAAAGGAAAGGGGGAGGGGGAAAATTAGAGAGGAAGATCATATTCACCGTTATTCCTCACAAGATAAGCAATTACAGCTACAGTAAAGCGACTGGTGGAAGCATTGTTGTTGTTGAGTACCGTCGAGTTGGTTCTGACTCATAGCGACCCTGTATAGGGTTTCCGAGGAGCAGCATGGTATTATGTTATCTCTCTGTCCTTTCCCTTCCTCCCCCTAAAAGGAAGGAAAACAGAATCTGTTGGCTCCTCTGTACTCCCCCAAATACCAGTAACTTAAATTGGGCCAATTGAATAATAGCTCATCAGGCATTTGGAGCTCTTGAGTTCACCTGGGGCTGGAGGCTTGCAGAAAGGGTCTGAGGGCCCAACCCAGAAAGGGAAGAGTAGGGTAGCTCTTGAGTTCACTTGACTAGTACTATTGCCTTTATCCACATTACACACACACACACACACACACACACACACACACACCATACCTGACTCTTGAGTTGGGCCTCTCTCTCCTGCAGTCCTCCCCCTCAGTGGGATCCCTCTTCAAGGATCCCTGTGGGACCCTTTGGTGGAAGCAGAGTTCTTGTCCACATGGCCACCTGAGCAGACCCCAGAGACACAGGCTTCTGGCTTCTCTCTGAGCTTGAGTGAGGACTGCTACATCCTTCCTCACCCTCTGGAGTGCAATGGGGCATACAGGTCCTAAAGGCTGTACCACCTGTCATGGATCCTACCTCTGGAAGATCTGGGAATACTTGACATCTACACCACTGTCTGCAGCCTTTGGGAGCTCAGCGGACACTCATATCCTGTAACATTTACTTATAGGCTAGTTTCCTCCTCTGCCTTGAAGCCACCTGCTGCTATCATGTGTGAGAGTGAACTGATAGCAGCACCTATTTATGCAGAGTCCCCTGTTTATTGTCACATACAGTTAGGAGCCTTTCCAACTGAGGTCACTGTACTGTGACAAAGGCACACAGGATTTGACCCAGAGACAACCTATATTTCTGCCCTGCCACCAAAAGTTGCTATCTGAGCAAGGGCTCTGATCTTCAATTTCCTTATCTGCAAAATGGATATAACACCACCTTCCCCACAAAGGGTTTGGATAAGAATTTCATCAGAAGATGCATGGAAATACATTCTGTACCATCATTTAAGAATTTACATTGTCAGCCATCCAGCATATCTTCATCTCACTAAATCTTTGCAATAGTATTTACCATTGTAAAATAGGAGTCCCGGTGTGGCACTATAGAATAAGCACTGAACTGCTTATCAAATCAGTTCAGATTCATGTTGAGCCTGTTTGGAGTTTTTGAGAGCAACAGGTAGATGTGAACTGCTGACCTTGAGGTGGTTGGTTCAGTGCTTATCCTACAGTACCACACCAGGGCTCAAGGTTGTTACATCCAGATTAATCTAATTCAAGATTCATGTTTATTACAATACATTTACATCCTCCATCGTGATGGAAGAGAAGATTCAGAAACCCAGGAACTAACATTAAGGGCTGTCTTTAAAGATCATGGTGTCAGGGACGGCACACATACATACGCAAGTAGCATGTACGTATCTGGAAAACAATAAGAACTGTTCTCTCTCCCTTTCTCCCCAAACCCCGCAGTGACAAAGGAACCTCCATAAAAGCAGAGGGTCGTACAAGATGACATATGTCTCCTCCTACTCTCCAGGGTCTCTTAATCCAAACCCCTCCATGAAGTGATAAAATATGCAAGAGTTCTTCAGAGTCAAAGGTTAAAATAAAGATACAATACATATCTGCGTATTTCCAAATTCCTCATACAGACACTATAATTCGTTTCTTCCATTTTCATCTATTGCATTCATTCAACAGAAGTCCTAATACCCGTGCTGACTAGGTATCAGGCACGAATCTATTTTGCAGACCAACCACCACACACCTAGCATGAGCACCAGGGGGTTCACATACAAAGGAACTTTTGGATAAAATATCTCTAGCCACCTACTAAAAGGCCACCTACAATGGCGCTGTGGGCTAATGTGTCAGACTGCAAAGTCATTTGAACTGCAATGTTGGTGGTTTAAGCTCACCAGCTGCTTCTTGGAAACTCTAAGCAGAGTCACTATGGATTGGAATCGACTCGAAGGCATTTAACAACAACAACCCACTAAAAACTATTACCACTGACACCCTGGGAGTAATCAGTTCTCATTCTTTAGAACAATACAGAAATTCTCCCATTTACATGGTTTGGGACAATTCTTCTGAAACATAATCATCATAAACCCAGATCTACTTAACAATTCGTTGTTGTCAAGTGCCATCAAGTTGATTCCAACTTATAGAGATGCTGTATAGAGTTTCCAAGGAGCAGCTGGTGGGTTTGAACTGCTGACTTTGTGGTTGACAATCCAGTGTTTATCCTATAGTGCCACACCACATGCCCTACTTAACAATATTGTTTCTGTTGTTAAGTGCCATTGAGTTGGTTCTGACCCATAGCGACCCTGTATAGGGTTTCTGAAGAGTGACTGGTGGGTTTGAACCAACCTTGCAGCCCAGCACATTAACCCAAAAAGCCACACCAGGACTCTTACTTAACAATATTAAGTAATAATTATTAAAACTAATAATCATAACAATTATATTGATATTAACTAACATAACTAATATTTAACTAATAATTCTAGAAATTATAATATAAACTAGTGTTAACTAGCATCAATTAACAATGGCTAATAATGGTGTCTTGGTGTACACTGTAGGATAAGCACTGGACTACTAATCACAAGGTCAGTGGTTCAAACCCACCAGCTACTCCTGGGAAACCCTATACAGGGTCAACAGCACTATGACTCAACAGCACTTAACAACAAACAATAGCTATGATGAGAGCAGGATGGCTGTGTAGGATAAGCACTGGACTGTGAACCACAAGGTTAGCGGTCTGAGCCCACTAGCTGCTCCATGGGAAAAAGATGAGTTTTTCTGTTTCACAATGATTTACAGCCTCAGGAACCCTACGCAGGGTCCCTATAAGCTGGAACCAACTCAACAGCACTTTACAACAACAATAACGAATATATTAACTAAATCAGATTTATTCAGCACCGTGCCAGGGCTCCCAGCCTCCCACATATCCTAATTCCTCACAAAAATATGAGGTGAGTACAATTCTTAATTTACAGATAAGGAAACTGAGGTTTAGCAAGGTGAAATAACTTTCCCAAGATTACACAATTACAAGTGCACTGAAACATTTGCTTTGAGCATTAGAATTAACTTGGCGTTTCCAAGATCCTAGAACAAATGGCACCCCACTAGGTATACCAGAGCTAACTAAATCATGCCCCCAAACATCAAGAACATAGGATATCAGATCATCCTGAGAAGTCCCAGTGTGGCCCTGTGGGTTAATGCAGTGGACTGCAAAGTTGGTTTGAACCGCAAGGTCGTGGTTCAAGCTCACCAGCTGCTCTTTGGAAACCCTATACAGGGTTGCTATGAGTCAGAATCATTCAATGGCACTTAACAACAACAATCCATATGTTTATTCATTACCTTCTGAAGAATACAAACATCCACACAGGCCAAATCTACAAAGTGGTCAACTTCAGCAGCAAGGAGCATCAGCAGCATATTCAAAGTCAACTAAAATCATTTTCCTCAAAATGTAACTTTTTTATCAAAATAATCCAAAAAGTTTCTGAGGTCATCAAAAACCACAAAAGATTTGCAGGAAAAAAAAATCTTACATTGGGAATTATTACACATTATTATGGGAATTATTACTCCATTAACCTGTTTTAGAAATCACTAAAACAATTGCTGACCAGCTGGGCACAGAAGTGACTACCAGGCTATTTTCTCTTGTTTTCTTCTCACCGTCTATGGAAATTTCATGAACTTTCAAGGCTGGGAGTTGTACATTCAATTGGTCCCTCTGAAGCTGCTACCATGACAGCACTTTGCTTCTGGGGTCATCTCTGGCTGGGGGACTGCTGAAATTCAAGACCCTCTGGAACCAGATATAAAGCAACAAGGAACAGCCCCCTTTTTGCTCTCTCTTGTCTGGAGATTAATAAAGCTGTTTTCTCCCCACAGCCCTCCTAAACTTCTGCTACGATGCTGATCTAAAACATCAATACCAGATAACTTTACAGATCAAGCCTCAAACCTAAGGGTGTGGATTGTTTGAAAGGAGAAATGAGTCAACCCATTACCCCTTTTTCTTAAAGCACAGGATGAAACAAGAATTAGGTGGTGAAAGGATAATTCAAGAGTCTGGTCTCAAGGAAATCAAACAAAGCATGTAATGTAGATCTGGTGCTTTAGTACCTATTTTTGGTCTGGTTGAATTCCTAGAGCTTCTAAAACCATGGCCTAAGAGGTATCTGTTCTTGTGGCTGTGACATCATTGTCCCCAAATAATAGGATTACACATACTAACTTTACATTTTGGCCCTGGTTACATTTCATATAGAAGTACTTACATTCAGGTGTTAGGTCCCACGCTCTAAACAGTGTTCTACAAAGTGTCTTTTAGGCTAGCCTAACTCTTGCAGGATGAATGGCAGAAACACTCAAAAAAAAAGCCTTGATTCCATAATATGCAGGACACAAATCACTGTTTAAAAGTTCTAGTAACAAACACACCCCCTTCCTCGAGTCCCCTTTCACGTCCAGCTATCCAAGAGTATACATTTCACACGCTTTTCCGACCAACATTAAGACAGACACAGAAAGAAACAAGGGCGCCCACGCTCGCTGCAGAGCCACGGTTTACTTACACACTCTTCAAAAAGCAATTTAAGGCCAACGTTGGGCCCTACCGGCTCCTTCTATTTCCAACTCTGATGAATTATTCAGAAAAGAGTAGAGGAAAAAAGCCCCCAAATTCCACAAGACACCTACCGCTATGGACCCAGAAGATGTGGCAACAAAGACTTTGATAACCATTTTGATGGTCGGAAAAAGGGCTCCCCCCAACACACCCCTGGCTAGACAAATCCTGACAGTGGCACGGACGGTGACAGGTCAAAGCTGGCAGCCGCCCAGAGCCCAGCAGCTCAGCCCCTCCCGCCTCCATTTAAGAAGCTCTGCCTCCCCCCAAGGAGCTGCACGGGCATCTTGGCCTTTCCCCTTCATTGGTCCCCGGAATATTTTGGGATCTGTGGGGAAAATATTTGATTGGTTGATAAAAGCAGCCGCTGGACCCTTTCCCTTATCATTTCAAGAGCTCTACAACAGTCCCTAAAAGGCGAGGCTGCGCTGTGTACCAATCACAGACCAGTGGAGGGATGCCTTGGGGAAAGGGAGGTGGGGCAATGGGATAACGGAGGAACGGGAGGAGAGACGAGGCGAGGGCGGAGCTAGCTGACTGGTGTTGGAAAAGCCCAGAGAACACCATCTCCGCCCAGAAGGAGGCTGTGTTTACAGGGCTATTGGCAAAGGAACAAACAGGAAGGGTCAGAATAGCACAGAGGCCTTTTAAATACAAAGATCAGTCTGAATGTTTTGAAATTTTCTGGCCGACTGAACAAAATTTCAGTAAACTGTCAAACAATAGAAATACTTTCCTTAGTAGCCTGCTAGAAGAATTGGGCAGCTTTCTCCATTAGCCACCTGTTTCTCCACAGAAACTGACAGGCCGTGGCCGTGTAAGATTTCACTGCCATCGCAGAGGAGGCTGGGAAATAGTTGCTCGTTTGTCAGGACCGATGACTTAAACAAGTAAATTGTCTTAACTATTTTTAAAACTTTGGGAGAGAAAAATAAATGATCTGTTTATAGCAGGCTCTGTCCCATCGTGTTTATATCCAAAACTCCGTGCCACAGAATCAATTCTGACTCATAGCGAACCTATGTAGGGTTTCCAAGCTTGTAAGTAAATCTTTATGGGGTTTGTGTTGTTATTGTTAGAATTGTTGTTGTTAGGTGTCAGAGTCTGCTCCGACTCATGCACAACAGAACAAAATATTGCCGGGTCCTGCGCCTTCCTCAAAACTGTTATGTTTGAGCCCACTGTTGGCTTTCGCTAGCAATCCATCTTCTTGGAGTCTTGCTCCTTTTCGTTGACCCTCCAATTTAACGACCATGATGTCATTCCCTAGGAACTGGTCCTTCCAGACAATATATCGGAAAAATGAAAAGTGAAGTTTCCCTATTCCCACTTCTAAAGAGGGATTTATACAGACACTTAAACTGTATTAAAAGTTGGTGGTGGTGGTGCTGGTGTGCCAACAGGGTTTTCAAGGCCAGCAATTCGAATCTACCAGACACTCCAAGGAAAAATGATGAGGCTTTCTGCTCCAGTAAAGACGTACAGGCTCTGAAACCCTATACAGGGTCACTATGAGTCAGAACTGGCGGTAGGGCACAAAACTTGAAAGTTTCATGTTTCTCCCATGGAGCAGCTGGTAGATTCGAACTGCTGGCCTTGATAGGAGCCCAACAGATAACCCACTACACCATCAGAGCTCCTTTGTTGTTGTTGTTAAGTGCCGTCGAGTCAGTTCCGACCCACAGTGACCCTGTACAAGGTTTCTGAGGAGCAGCTAGTGAGCTTGAACAGCTGACCTTGCAGTACAAATGACATTGCAGTTTGATGCATTAGCCCACAGTGCCACACCAGGGCTCCTTAAAGGAACGTAAAATCTTATAAGACCTAGATACTAGTGGTCCAAACTCTTCTAATGGATTTCAAATATAAGATCAAAAACAAAGGCCTACTCTTTCAAACGAGAAGATGGCACTGATGTCCTGGCACAGGGGGAAGGTTCTCTGGGGGGTTTTTCATCACCCTTTCCCATAGCCTCCCAGTTGGGATGGGGGAGGGCTTGAGGTCTGCTCTCCACCTTCTCAGGTAAGTGATTGTTGTTGTTAAGTGCCTTCAAGTTGGTTCCTACCCATAGGGCCCCTGCATAGGGTTTCCTAGGAGTGCCTGTTGAACTTGAACCACCAACCTTGCAGCTCAAACTGACATTGCAGTCCAGCGCATTAACCCACAATACCACACAGGTAAGTACTTAGGATGAGAAAAAAGAGAAAGCACACCCCTGTTCCCGGAAAATCTCCAATTCACTTATATCAGGATAAATCACTAAGATGACTCTATCAAAATTTAACTGTAGCTTTAAAATGCAAAGTACATAATTCAAAAATTAGGACCTTGGTGAATATGATTAGAGGCTCCCGGATTTAAGTCACTAGCTGGTGTGGTGCTGTGGATCAGCACTGGACTGCGAACCACAAGGCAGGCAGTTTAAACCCACCAGTTGCTCCTCCAAAACCCTATACAGGGTCGCTATGAGTCAGAATCGACTCAATGGCACTTAACAACAACAAAAACAAGCATTATAAATGCTGAAGTCCACCAAGAAGTACAAATCATTCTAACTTAAATTATTCTTTTCTGTATTTTCAAAATTTCAACAATGAATATGTATGATTTTTGTCATTCAAAAATTTAATGGATTTTCACCCCCTTAGTCTTATAGCTGGAGTCCTGGTGTGGGGCTGTAGGCTAATGCATCAGACTGCAAAGTCATTTGAACTTCAAGGCCAGTGGTTCAAGCTCACCAGCTGCTCCTTGGAAACCCTTTATAGGGTCGCTTTGAGTCAGAACCAACTTGACGGCACTTAACAACAACAAGTCTTAAAGCTGACCACAACATACTATTTTTCTTCATATAACATTTTTAAAAGCAATAAACCAAAAATTTATTGATTACTGTGTAAATTTTGTTGTTGTTAAGTGCCATTGAGTCGGTTATGACTCACAATGACCTTGTACAGGGTTTCTGAGGGACAACTGGTGCATTTGAACTGCCAACCTTGCAGTTCAAATCACCCTTGGGGTCCAGTGCCACAACAGGACTCCTGTGTAAATTTCTAACCTCAGTAAACTGCTTTGGATATTTTGTCAGGAAGGACCAGTACCTGGAGAAGGACATTATGCTTGGTAAAGTGGAGGATCATAAAAAAAGAGGAAGACTCCCCTCCCCAAACTCAAGGAGATGGATTGACACAGTGGCAGCAGTGGTGGGCTCAGAAAAAGTAACAATTGTGAGAATCGTTCAGGAAGTGGTAGTGTTCGATTCTGTTGTGCATGGAGTCACTATGATTCAGAACCAACTCGACGGCACCTAACAACAGTAAACTAAAGCTGGATTCTCATGTGTGATAAAGAACAAACATCTCCTGGTCAAAAATGGAGAAAACTGCCTTCAATAATGACTCCACCTACAGACCCCAGGGAGAAAGGAGAAGTAAATTTCCTATTTGAAATAAAAGCTAACATGTTTTAAATGTTTACCATGTGGGGGGAACAAACAGGATGGCAGATCGGGTGGACATATAGCAGAGAGCTC